GGGCTCGCGCTGTGCGCGCTGCAGGACGACCAGCTCTCTGCAGCGCAGGACCTCGTCGCCGACCTGACCAAGAACCACGCGGCAGACCTTGAGGCGCCGCCCGTGAGGAAGGCGCGCCATCCCGGCGGGCGGGGTGATCCCCCCCCCCCCCCCCCTCTCACACCACCACGCTCGGAGCGTGTCCAGCTGCGCCTACGGTAGGCGATCGCAGCGGTGGCCCTCGCTGTCGACGCGCCCGAAGGCGGCCGCCCGGTCAGCGAGCTCCGCCTGGCGCTCGAGGCGGACCGAGACGACCACGCCGCGCGGTACGAGCTCGCGCAGCGCCTGCTCGTGTCGGGGGAACAGGCGGACGCCATCGACGAGCTACTGCTCATCGTGAGGCGCGACAAGGCGTGGTCCGATGGCGCGGCGCGTCTGCTGCTGCTCAAGGTCTTCGACGCGCTCGGTAGCGGCCACGAGCTGACGAAGAAGGGCCGGCGCCGCCTCTCGAACTTCTTGAACATATGACGCGGCGGGTCTACACGGCCAATACACAGGTAGTCAATAAAGACACACCTGATAACAGACACATGGGATGACGGATGTTTGGGGGGGGTTGGGGGCATCCCCATCCCAACATTTTTGATCACAAACCCGCTAGGATATATTTGATTAATTTTGCCTGAAAAGTTCAAATCCATTCCATGCCTAACATCTGTCGAGGTGTTTGACCCGTGGAGCTGTCAAACGCCTTAAGGTTGCTCCCGGCCCCAGTGGGGAGTGGGGATTTTGGCCTACTCAGTGACCGTCTAAGGGGCCCTAAATGGCCTGCAATGCCATATCTTTTGCCTAGCTTGTAGAGCACCTTAAAAAAGTACTATGTCTTGGAGTGAAAAGTTTTTCGATGAGGTGGGGGTCCGTGGTGAGCAGATTCCCAGATTCTCCAGATCCCCCCTCGAAAACCGCCTTTAATTCACTGCGGCCGCGGCTTTGCTCGGATTGCTTTTCACTCGAAGACATAGTAGTTTTTTGGCGTTCCGGTCAAAAAATATCCGAGATCGCATGGAGTTGCACTATTGTTGGCTGAAATCGTCTCAACAAGTAGAGCTGTTTAACATTAACTTTGGGCCTAACAGTTGCGCTAGTGTTGGCTGAAATCCTTAACGTTGTTCAAGTGTTCACCCCAGCCTTTGCTGTTACTGTTTGTTACACTGTTGTTACTGTTGTTCAGCGGTCAGCAAGCAGAAAAAAAACCCCGGGTAAACCCCGAAAATACCTGGGGTTTCCCGGGTATTTTCGGGTAATACCCGCACTGGACGCTGGAGATCGTCGTGGGTCACTGCCAGGCCTTCCTTGTTGTTGTTCAGCCGGCCTAACGTTAGCTACTGTTGTTGGGGAGCCCCACTGTTGTTCTGTTGTTACTGTTAACAACAACACTGTAACACCAGCAACACTGTTCAGCTCTTAACGTTTGACAGCTCTAGTGTTTGGATGAAGTGCTTTGATGTTTTTAAAACCAAAATTTGAATAAGAATATATCCAAGCGGCAATTAAGCGGCGTCACCGCGGGGTTTTTGATCGATCAATGACAATGTGTCGTGCTTCAAAAATGATAAATGAAAATGTGAGCTGGGATGCACATCCCTTTTTATCTCACGTGGATTTGAAAGATTTTTTCTCTCAAAGAAAAGACAAGACAACCCAAGAGAGAGATGGGAGGACGGCACGCCGCCACCACACACACAAGAAGAAGGTCAACGCTTGCGGTTCTATCCTCGCGGCGACTGGTACACCTTGTACTGGGGATGGCAGCTCGGGGCCGACAAAGGTCGCAAAGGCGCGCTGTCTTCCCGACGCTCGAGCACGACAACTACGACCCCCGGCCCCCTCGCAGAGCGCATCAGGCGCGACAAGCGCGGAGAGATGTCCCCAGGTAGGAGGCTCCACGCCACCTGACTCGCGTCGTGCCACCTGACTCTCGCCTGGAGAGGCCTCTTAGCCGAGGCACACGTGGCAATCGCCACGTGCGCCACCAGGGATTTCGGCCATTTTAGAGCCTTTTGCACAAAAATGCAGGTGGCTTCAGCCACTTGCTCCATGAGCAAAACAGTGCAAAAAGCACCTGGAGCAGATGGCTTACGCCGCCTGTGGACATGGGCAAAACAGTGCAAAAAGCACCTGGAGCAGATGGCTTACGCCGCCTGTGGCCATGGGCAAAACAGTGCAAAAAGCACCTGGA